AAGACACTAGCAAAAATGTCACTTTTGCCTAATAGTTTAGGTCTGTGCCACAGAAATTACCATAATTCTGCGCAATGAAACATGGGTACCAAGATGGTTCCTTCAGTATTAGCAAATGCTTTTATGTAAACGCTCAGAGTCACAATAGGATACTCTGTATCGTGCATTTGGCCCGAATGTGCCACTTACCTTCTGGTACATTCATGTACAAGCAATTCAGGAGCCAACATGCATTCCAACATTCAACATTCCAACATATAGAATTGCAAGCATTTTTTATCAAGTTTATTCGGGGCAATTTCTGAAGGAAATTATTGAAAAAAAACACGCTCTGTCGAAGTACTTCAGGTTTGTAGACAACCCCGGTTGCTGAGGAAGCTATACTGTAGAGTTCCTAGAAATCCAGTCATTTGATGATAAATATCAGCTTAGGGCTGGGCTCTTGGGTCCTAGCAGTACGAGTGACTCGAGTTTGGAGGGATGACTGTCACAGGAATGTGGCTGTGTCTGACAATGTATTTTCCAACGCTGCCTAGATGTAGAGTGCGGTGGAGGGCTCCGCGACCACGTGAACCCATGACGATCATGTCAACGCCTCGAATGAGCGCCGACTTAATCACCGCCTTTCCCGTGGCGGGTCGCCTGTCCACGGCGATGCAGGCGTCGCAGTGCGTCGCGCCTGCTTGAAACGCCAGATCCAAAAAGCCCTGACAGAGAGCTTTCCCCGCAGCAAAGGCTTCCTCCATTACTAGTGGTGCTCCATCAGCGTTTGTCGTGGGTGGTGTCGTCGTCCGCATTTGCGCTTCATCTACCGATGGATGCGGGTTCAGCTCGGGTGCAATTACATGAATCAATGTGATGGCGTCCTCCACCCCCTCTTCCTGATTGCTGCCACTGCGCCACATCCACCGCAGGAACCACTGGAAGGCTCGACGACAGCTAGCGCTCTCATCCACCGCAAAGAGGATGCGTCGGTGTCCAGCCATGCATCACATGTGACGCTCCAAGAAAACGCTTGCGTACGCGCATCCACAAGATGGGGTCAAAGTACAAAGTTTAGAGTCTAAGGAGCAGGTGTTTTTTCAGTGATCGTCACAACTCGTGTGTTTTTGGAAACGCGTATTCTAGGACACATTGTCGAAGACATCTTGAGGCAATATATTACTGCAAACGCTGTTTATTGTAAAGGAATACAATTTGACAAAACGCATGTTGCATAAGACCATCGGCAAAAGTGATCGGTGCTAAAATAGGATTCGGAGGGTGAGGATTGCTAAACCACACAAAATTTTTGAAAGTATGCCACTAAGCTTTAAAGCTGCGTCATGGAGGGCAAAATCTTCGCATTGGGAAGTAAGGTCTTGTTTCTTTCTAAAGGTGTTAATGGTGATCAGAGAAAAGGTGCGAGAAACAAGTTATTCAAATAAATCTGAAGGGTAATGCGATAACAAACGATTTTTTGTGGTTGTGAGCTGTTTTGTCGTTTGCAACTTAAGTGGTGCGCCGACAGTTGCTCGATTCAGGATCATTTGAGGCTGTATGACGAAATGCAATTTGCCAGTTAGGTCCGAATTGCTGGCCGACTTGTGTTGGTATTTAGCCCACACTCGGTGGTGGCATAATCTTGAATCCGTGAAACTGCTATGATTGTTAAGGAATTATTATCATTGTGCTTCCATACTATTTCGTCTGTTTGACTTATTGCCTGTTTTTGCCCTTGTAATTTCCCTTGCAAGAAACCCAGTGGCGGTGCTTTTTTGCTTCAACAAAAATCGACGCAGAGTGAGCTCCCCTCCAGTAGCAATAACTTGCCAGTTGTGAATGGCTTTGAATAAGCCTGTCAAAGGGGGTGCTCCTGTGGCGGCACGTGTGCACGTTCTACGAGGCAGGCGCCCAGGGTCGCAAGGGGAGCACACACGTCAGCGCAGTGCGGGGGTCTGAAGTCATCGTTGACCCTACGCAATCACCTGTCGCATGTTCACCTAGGCAAAGGGGAGGGAGTTACAGGGAATCGACGCATAATCTGCCACCATCAGGTGGTTCAACTCCAACAGTTAAAATAACCTTCGTCAGACGCTATAATTAACAAAAATGGGACCCTCAAAACCACTGCTACCTCGAGGGCTTTAACTTCGGGAACGTTGTCGTTCGGACCTTGATGCGTAGCTGGACTGGTGATATTTCATCAGTGGGAAACGCCAAATTAGACGCTACAACAACGTCTTACTAGCTTTAAAACATCCAAATAGAGTGTGCACTCTATTCGCGATTCGGGACATTGGTGACATTAAACCACAAATCAGTGCATTGCGTGAAGCAGATTTAAATGCTCTGGAATACAACAGTACGACTAGCAACTATGCACTTGGAGGTATAGGGTGGATGGTATCGGACTCGCGTACACTCCAATCGAATTTTGGCTCCAAATGCTAATTCAAGATGAATTCATTGCGTAGATTGTAAGTTTAGGGTTTGAGGACGTTTGCTGAGATCAGTAAAGCCAATGCCCATGCACAACTCCACATAAACTGAATTTGGCAATAAGCTTCATGTTGGATTTGCTTATTACCACAGAAACAGGTAGTTAGTGGTCGGTAGAGCATTAGGGCCTCACAAGAAAAATAATCTGTGCCTACGCATTTGCTGGATTTCCAGCAAGGAGACCATCAAGCCTTACATAAACCCGTTCGGAAGGGTATCCGGTTTATTGAAGAGCAGTTTGTCTTAAGTACCGGGCTGACGGGAATTCGCCAAATAGGTCACGGCTAAGTTTAAGTTCAGGCATGGTGTATGTACCAGTAAATAAACACCTGTGGCAAGCGAGTGAGCGTGGTGAATCACGTAAGCCTTGTGGGTGGCTGGTTATCAAGTCCCGTCGCTGCCTCTTGTTCATTTTCTCATTTGTTTATCCAATGTTTCGCAGTATTAATCACAAACATTGCAATAGGAATTTTTGGATAAGGACATTCAAATACAGTGCTTGGTAGTAACTTTGTCCCTTATGCATTGCGCATGTTGGTGTTTCAATTACTCACTGTCGCTGTCTGCATGAGGAGAATAATCTGGTGGTGGCAATTATCGTATGAAACACGTGGAACACAACGCGGTACAGCATCATGCATCCACCTTGAAATCGACCGCCTTGCAGGTGCTCGGTTGCTCCCAATGTGCTATCGAAAGGCACAGCCAAATGACATTTAAAAACACGGTTCATTTTTTTCTGTCGGCTTCAATGTATACCTCGTGTGTTTAATCATGGGCCAAAATGCACACGAACCTCATTATGGCAGAGGCATCGAATGGATTTCATGCTATCCTCGCGGGCAGTTAAATTGGGTTTCAAGGTTTTTTCAAAAACACAAGCAGCGGACGCTGACAAAATATGCCGAGGTTCAATGAGCTTAACCTTGGTTTTAAGGGAGCGCATTATGCAAAACAAACTTAAGTAAGCGGCATACCATGCAGACTAGTCTATTGAAAATCACTCAAATTTAGGCAGCTAATGACCACCACAGAGTAAGCATGAGGACTCTACGGGAAACCTATAGCAAGTATCGGTCACACAGAACTATTTGCAGTGGTCGACTGACAAAAGCAGTGACTGGAGTTAGTGATACAGGTCCGAGAGGTCAACTTAATGCTAGATTCCGGCCGTGTTCTAGCGCCTAGATTTTGAAGAAAATAATCACGCGTTACTTACGCTAATGTCGATGCGTACTCAGAAGAAGTAACGGACGTCTTCGCCTCTGTCACTCGCGTGCATGCGAAGACAACCAGCACGGTAACTGCAAGACGTCAATCGAAGTCTGAGTGAAGCAATCTCATGCTGTGTTAATGATGCAGGCAACCGACTCACAGTCCATCATTATCCCGCTTTTCAAGTGTCCAGCTAGGAAATCTAGTGTACAATATGGTATATGATGTAGTACGTATGACTGCCTTGCGCGCAAGTTCAGAATCTACATTTTTTCAGCAAATGAGCCTGCACTGGATGCGTGAACACATTACGGCAAACAGAAGGCCATTCGATCTGTGGATTTTCAGTTTTTAGAAAGAGGTTGCACGTACTCAAATGCCGCGGAGCTTAACCACTTTTTGTCTGTGCTCTATTACCTGATGGTAGTATGCACGGAGTCGAAAGCCTTCCTTGTGTGTTAACTTCAATGTCCCACCTAGTTGTGCTTGGAACTAGTGATAGGTGATAGCGACAAATGAAGGTGTGCTCAGCTCCATGGCACTGAGCAATTCGGGAGCCCGTCACGACCCACCGCTTCAAAATGAGCCTCATTTAGATTTAGTTTATCGCACCTCAACTGCACGAGATGATAGGTACCAAAATTCACTTGATTAATAACCCGAAAACAGCACCCACGAGCTAAAGCCCCATCCGATAAATGCGAAAAGCAAAGCGCTAAGGCGAAGACGTGGCTCGGTAAGGCCACGATAAATCATTAGACCAACTCCTGCAGTCCGAGTCATAAGTTATGCTTAACGTTACTTGTGACTTAACTCAAATCCGCCTATTTCACCAAGTGTCACCTGGTTAAATAAACACTGGAACCCTTCCGACTATTGTCTGTAGTCAGACTTCGTTTAAAACTCCAAGATTAGCTCCCCCCCGCCTTTCAGAGTAAACACGCTCCCTTCACCAGTCAGGGGACTGTTAATTACATTAAACCTTTTTAACCGTAGGAACACACCGTAAAGTGACTCACGTTTTTCTGTTTACCTTTTGAGAAGGGTTTTGTTAGAGCCTGGGTTGAAACCGGTAGTTCAGCTGCGTACTTAACGCAATGCGTCTGAACACTTAATTATTCTCTTTTTAAATCAACATCATTAAAGAGCAGGTAGTGTTGAAAAGTTGGGCTTCAGGGTTTGTCAACGAAACGATTTACCACTGAAATAGGTCCAACAATGACTTCCATTTCGGGTCAATTGTAGCATGTAACATTCGATGACAAGAAGTTCAACTGGTTTCATTGACTTCGTCATATTGAGGGGTGCTTTTACAATTTTCCACCTAACATGCTGAGCATTCCTTTGAAAAAAGCATTTTAAAAAAGTCGAATTTAAGTTGCGTTCCCTACTAGACGTTTGGTTTATCAAAGCTTTGAGGCAGTGAACACACTTGATGTGCTTGGTGACCAATTTGACGACTGAGAGCTAACATCAAAATTGCACTTGATACTATCTCTAATATTCCATTAACACTATCGACTAATGCTGAATTACGCTTTCGAGCAATGGAATACATCTTCCTCAATTGCTAGGGGTTGTCCGTCAGAGTTGGCTGGCCTCATTCGCATCACGGCAATCAAAATTATCGAAGAAGACTTGCCATGGTGCTCGAGGTGGAAGAGCTGCCCACAAAAACCGCGGTTGTGCGATCGATCCTAGCTTCGACACTTCATACCAGATACGGTGGTTGCTTGTTCAAACAGGCACAACTACCTGTCATCACATTGGGCTGATGTGGCGTTGTTCCGCCTGTCCATTGTCACTTCTGCTTGACCAACAGTGACAGGCAGTTGTGGGTTGGTAAATCTAGATGTGCGACTGCAAGCCAACAACCTCGCACACCACATCTCGCAGAAGTAGAGGCCTGATTCTACGGGCCACACAAACTGCCAAACCTCACCTCGCAAATACTTGGACGGGATGAGGCCAAGAGGGAATGTAATTGATGGCGGGCAATGGAATTAACCTGGCCACAAGCTCCTGTGGCAATTGTGGCAGTGTATGCCGGTATCTACACAAGTGTAATGTCATGGAATCAGACAGCTGTGGCCAGTAGTACTAGTGGCTGTTTGTGCCCATCTCATGCATGAGCACCGATTGTCGACGCGAACAGGCGTTGTGGAATTCGCTGCAAAATTACACACTTATTATCCTCTCACCATCCCACGATAGTACCGGTGATTTGAACGCCCTCACACCAGAAGTCAAAAACGTCAGGGGCATAAATGATGAATTTGAGAGAGGCCGGTGAGGTGTTTAGGAGTCTGGCTGAGAGTCGCGGTAACTCGAAGCTGCACGTGCTGTTGTGCAAAGGAGCAAGAAACACACGCTCTCTTTGGTCCTACTGCGATGAAGTACGTGGCTGCTTTTGCTTCTAAACGTAAGTGGTCTGCTCCAGAGCCAATTTATGCCAGTGTACTGAAGAACTTTGCCGACATGATAAACATGCGAATGCGGATGTCACTTTACCGGCCTATAATAACCATAGAACAGCATTTTTATACAAACTACTAATTTACAACGTTACAATACACAAAGGGGGTGAATTGAAAGGGAAGGTGTATCACAGCCGAGTGGAGAGTTCCTTAGTGAAACAGGCCTAATGCCTCGAGGAAAGGCCCTTGTCCGCATTCTTCAAAGCCGATTTGGGGTCCAAGCAAAGGGACCTGGATTTTTTCAGCGACTCCGTGGAGCGCCGTTTTTTCCAGTTTCTGAAGGGACTATGCGCTCGTGGAGGCCTCTCCTCAGACGGCTCTTTTTTACCTGCTTCAGGGGACCTCGGAGAGGTCCCAGAAATCCAGTTTTCTGGCTGAGGGCTCCTAGACCAGATGCACAAATGTGACAGTGGGAAGGGTCGGTTTTCCTTACTTGCGTAGCCAAATGACCTCTAAAACAATAGAACGAAGTCATTGAAGGAGGCATTGCCTGTTGTCTATTTGAGTGCTTTGTAAACGCCTTCATTTGGAAGCATCTTTGAGGATCTTTGGAATTCCATTTGACTGATACCCCTATCCTGTATTTTTTTCCAGGTCTTGCATTTTGTGGCTGTTTTCCCATGGGCAAGGCTCGGGTAGTTAAGTATCTTAATAAAATAACACTGAGCTCTCATCCACTAAAATAACGCACGCTAAAAGCGTTATCTGTGTCTTTGGTTAGGCTACAGAACGAATTATTGAGCATCTTGATTTCTTCTACTGAGATTAAAAGCAACCTGTTAAGCCATGCAATTAAAACGGATCGACATTTACCGGTGGCGTGTTCACGGCAGTAGTGCCAGGTAACACCTGACAGGTTGCCCAGCTTCTTTTTAGGGCAGATTTATCGATCGTAACTGGAATGCATCTACCGCACTCATTCCCGATTTTATTTGACCTCTTCTGCGGCGATGTTCCCAATCTCGACTTGAGGAAAGCCCGCACTTTATGGTAGATAGTCATTGGCAATATCTCCAATTCTTCAAATAGTTCAATTAGGTTAATCAAGGTGTCGATATAGCTTCCCATAGCTTCCGTCTCTTCGGGCAGGCCAAAAACAGCCACAGCCAGACACCTTGCAAGCGCTTCGGAGGACATCTTTGTTTCAAGTGTGTTGGAGGCAACCTTATGTAGGAGTGAGAGTAATTTCATTAGAAGATGACGCTCTGGACTAGGAAGAAGTAGTTGAATAATGATTCTATAAGCAAGGAGCTGTCTTCCATGGCAGAGAAGGTGCATCCAATCGTTAGAAGGGTCCAAACGGTATGGGGGGTGACGATCTTTGAGATGGTACTGTAATTGAGTTGTTTGGACAAAAAGTTCGGTGGCCTTGGGAGGAATCAAACCAGTGTCGGAGTTGTTGCTGTTGTTGGTGGCTATTCGGGCCGACGACAGACACCGTAGAAGGACGCCAGCCACGTCGTACACCAGTGCAGAGTCTAGGAGACAGGTAATATCTGTGCAACGTTGGGATTGGGCGGGTCTGCTGGAATTTACTGTTGACACACAAGTAGCCGAAGAACACGGTCGTACGGTACCTAAGTATCCACTGAGTACATAGTTTTTTAACTGGGTATACAAGTGTTTCGTTCGGGAGAGGCTACCGGGACGACGGAAAAGACCTTCTGTTGACAATAAATCTAGCAAGTTAAAAAAAGGCTGGTTAAATCCTTCTCTCAAGGTTATATTATTATTCTTAACTGGTTGAATTTAAAACAAAGGCAAAAATTTTGACGTCCTATTTCTTGACCTATTGCCATCAATTATTCATGACAAGTCAAGAAATAGACGATCTTCTAGTATCCTAGGGATCGGTACGGCAGCGCGACATACCAGGTCTGCCCAGCAGAAAGTCGATGATGTACTGACAAAGGATGAAGTCGATGTTCCCTGTAAATGATAACCACAGCGGTCTTGACTCGTACCAGTTATGAAAACAATCGTCCAACGAGCGAGGCCCATTCTTGGTGTCTTTTGACGATGCTGTAACTGAAAGCAAAACTCCTAAGTGTAAAAATTGTAGTTTTCAAGTAAAACGAAAGTCTTATTCAAATGGAAAATTGTTGGTACAGAAATAATGAGATAACTATTTTTACATGTTTTAATGCGGCATTTGATTATCGAAATTGCATTTTTATATCTGTACAACCCAGTGGTAGCTAATGAAAATGTGCAGGTGATTGAAAGTAAGGAAAAAGCCGAGGTTAGCGGTTTAACCCGCAACTGAACAAGTGGAGTTTCACACAAAACGCACGAGGCAAACACGGTCGTGAAAATAGTAACAGAAGGGTAGGGCGCCACCTAACCCCCAATTTTTCATGTCCTTTCATGAACAACACACACTATCCACCGGCAGGAGTCAACACGCCTGTTCTGCCGGCTCACCACCCCCTCCCCAACTAATAACCATACGCATCACGCACCAGCACTCCGTCCAATAGCGGGGTCGTCATCGGACCGGCGCAGGGTAGGCAAAGCCCTGTCAACACGTATGCATATCTTCATATTAATGTCATGAGAACGTATACCCACTTAGGACCAAGACGATTCGTCCTCCAAAAAATTGCGCACACGGTTTCCGTCTATGTGAGTGAGGCTTTATCTAGTTACAGAAACGCCTTTTACACAGTCAGGGGATGGCTAATAATCTTGCTCAACATTTTACGTGGCTTAAAGACACAATGGATTATTTGGTAAAACTAAAGCTGCAATAGGATGTCATCCTCCAGGTCAGCATCTGCCAATTCAGTTGTGTGGGCTTGCCGTGACTGGTCCTGCAATCACTCGACCTCATACTCGTACTGCCCCATTTAGGCCTTGCAGCTCAAAAGGCTTACTTGACAGAGGACTTCCGATTGTCGTGGGTAGGGCAGATGAGGGTGTCAACGTGAAAACGGACAACTTTGATGGAAGTAGGTTCCTTCCCTTTATCCAACCCAACTTCATCTTTGGGGTGTCAAAGGTCGATAGATCTGTCAGATCAATACCGTGGCATTGTCTACAGGCCCCCTGGTCGGACTCCAATACAGGTCTTTGAGGCGGAGATCTGGAACGGAAGCGCCCACATTTAGGTCTCCATATACGACTTCGGTGGCGGGAGGGACGATTGATTAACAGGGTGGCATCAGGAGTGGTATCCAGACGCGATCTTAAGGGCCATCCTTCGTCAAAGTACTCGTAGTCAAGCTCGAGAAATGTTGCAAGAGTAAAATGGCATATTCGGAGCAATTCTTCGGGTTGTGTGCGTTGAAACAGGTGAACTAGGTACCAGGCTTCTTCACTGTGTTCGCCAGCCGCAAGCAGAGCTGCTCTTTGCAACATTTCAGCCTAAAAAGACGATACACTATAAGCAGCAATCTTCCAACAACTTGTGGCCTGCATCTTTGGCCCTGTGCATAAGGCCGAAATCGAAGACCAGTGGGGTATGCGGTACCACTTCTTGGTGCTCACAAAGAAATTGCATACGAGTCGTTTCTACGGGAAAAGACTAAAACTAATGCACTCAATTCACGTTAGCTCAGAAAGTTAAATAGCTGTTTTGAAAAAAACCGTTCCTGTAAGTTTAGTAATTAGTAAAAATACTCTTTAAACTTTTTTGAGGCTCTGCCTCACCGTCTATTATTCCAACACTGGGGTTCGGTTGTTCATCTGGACATTCCTTCAGATAAGCATTCACAGAGCATGGTATTGAAAACACCTGAATTTTGTTGGTCCCACATTAAGACCAAACATCTTACCTGAAATTAATGCAACTTAATCAATACCATAATAGTTCGAAGAACTATTAATCCGTGCTAATTTATGGCGCTAAAGTATTTCGAGAGGCTGTTTAGCCATGGATAGCTCTAGGTATGCTACGAAATAGATACGCTATATAGCGCCACATTTCTGGCCTATGGTATTGAAGGCGACAATAGAATGGAAGTTATTTGCACTTAGAAAATGAGCAGGAATTGCGGTCCCGCATTCCATGCCGCCTCAAATTTCTCTCGTGCCAGGGTGCCCAGGACGAACTTAAATTTATCCTCGAATACGAAGTCCAATAATACAACTGTTACGACCAAGTTGGGGCGTTTTCAAAGTCTCATTATGCTTGCTGAACATCCAAAACGAGAATTAAAGTGACCTTTGCTTCACAGCGGATAATGGGTAGAATCTTAAACTCGGTTTTCACGTGCTTCAAGGGAAATCGATGATAGAACACACACAAAACATACAGTCAGGGAAATTTGTATTAAATAAAAGGATTGCCAGGGTAGGACTCCACGTTGTTATGGCTGCAATAAACTAGACCTCGGCGTAGTTGTGATACCAATGTTAACACGAGGGACAAATTAACATGAGTAGCCGGCTTGCACTAAGTACTGAATCGAGTTGCGGAACTTACCCTAACCGATGCGTTGTCCCCTTCCATGACTGCAAGTATAACAAATTAGTGTGCGTGAGCAAGGCGCCGTCCAGTTATATGCAAACCGATACAGCAGAAAGAATATGGTGAACAACGACCACTCTCAGGGGAACGTGAGACAAGAACGACCAAACACACCCCTAGCCGACCCCCCATTATAATTCATGCTACATCCATTGGCCAATCAGCGAAAGGCCCAGCTATGATTGGTGTACAGCTTAAATTGATGACAGTGTCCACATGTCTGCTTGATGCTATTGGTTAAACACTCCCAATGCGATGTTCAGGCGTAAAACCTCAATCTCAATCCTAATCGCATTTCCGTAGGTCCTGGAACCATTCGCTCCCGAATGTTTTTCTATCTGGGTCGGCCTGGCAACTTTATCAAGTTAAAGGAAAAGACTCTTTTGAAAATTGAACTTCGACTAGCAGCTATAGTTTCTACCTATATAGATACTAGCCATTCGGCGTCCTAAATGTTCATCCAAACAATATTTTCGTAGTTTAAAAGTGATGGGTATTATGTAACTGCATCGTCCATCACCCGAAAATATAAGTCAAGCACATCAGATGGCATAATGGGTATTCTGCCAAATGTGCCCATTTTAGGGAAGTAAACTTATGGCTAATGTCGTCAGAAACTTGAGATTATTTGGTTAACCATTAGAGTTGTTCCCTCTAAATCCAGGACTCCTAAAAACATTATGAGGGTCAGTGAGTCAAATACCCTATCGGGATCTCATTTCGCACTTGGTGATCTTAAAACCGTATCATGAGCTTGTCTTTATCCCTTGTTATGTTAATTTCACCCACGGATTAAGGCCCATGTGATAGTGCGCAACCAGCTTATTCAGCCCTAGGATTTTGGAGGCCGGTGTTTCTCGGCACTTTAATGGGCTGTATATTAACTATTTCGGAAACAATAATGATTCTTGGCTCTGTCGCTTTTTAAAGCAAAGTCCAAAGTTGTGCAGTCCAATAAATGAACTTTTCTTGTTTTACTTTCTTATGCCCACAGTAACATAATCTCAGGAATCTTGGGCATTTATTTTGGGTAAATGTAGCCTGAAGAAACTCCACTGTTCAAAATTTGAATCAGTTTGTGACGTTCCAGCTGTCGGCAGTCACAAGTCCCCAATGCATCATACAATAGAGGCGATGTGCCGAAGAGTCCTTTATGAGTCTGGGACTAGGCTTACAGAGGCAAAACTATCGTGTTACTCTGTCCGTGTTGGCTAACAGCTTAAACCCTCGATAAGTGATTTTGATAGTTTATTCTCTTTGGCCATAGACAACTAAAGACTTGTCTCAACACTAAACTGCTAGCTCTTCTTAGTGCTGAGTTTCCCTCTCCGAGGGTATTCCACGAGGATAAAGTCACCTCACTTCGTTTCTTCTCTGACTTGCAACCACAACCATCGTTTTGAGTTTGCGGCTTACATCCTTGCCTCGCATTTCGGGGTTGCTCAACTCCTGTTCCCATGTATTTGTGTGTTTTGGAAGACAACAAAGTAGTACTGAGTAATGAGTTGCTTGTGGAGTTGTGTGTCGCCACACTTAATGCTTCGTCTATTGAAGTCCAGGTATTGTGACAGCGGGTAGTCAAATGAGCTCATGTTGATGTTTATTCCTTTGTCATTTGTCAGATGAAGTTTTGTTGTCCCACTTGATGCATGTATAAAGTCGATGCAGTGAGTTGGTTGCTCTGCTTCACAAAAATCTAACTATGAGAAAGCGACAGAAATTTGCTGTCGGTTGTTTTAATAGACTGTTTTTAAGCGTAATAGGTAAGGAAGTGGGAATACTTCCGTTGTAGCCTTGACATCTAGAGTACAGATTACTTGAATTTCGTCCATTTAGTTCTCTAGTAGCTTTAAAAGAGAGCACAAAGTGAATCAATGGCTATTTTTAAGTTTTTTGCATGTAGAGACACAGGTAAATCTGAATTTTTTGTTTTCGATTGAAATCATTTACGATCATTTATGCTTCTAGGTGGACTTCCTCGAGTGGGGTCAAATTTTCAATCAATTAACTCTACTGATTCAGAAACAGACTACGTGACGGGATGAGAAGTCCAGAATAACCAAAGTACCAAAGTAAATGTGGACCAAATGGTATTGTTCCGTAGCCTTTAAAGGGCCATGAAGACACCAAACAGAGCGCCTAAATCTGAACCAGCTCTTTCACCTGTTACAGGTTAAGCACAATTATACGACAGAGATAATGCCATAGACCTCTGCACTAATGCGCATGCGTTTGTCTGAAATCAAGGTCCTGCTCTGACAAAGGAGTATCATATGCATACGGACTGACCACCTGTCACATGCCTGTCACTCCCCGATTTTGTGCCCATATGTCGATGTATTAACACGAATAACATCATCATTTACAATGTACAGAGCCATTTATCACTTGATGAACCTATCTGCTGAGACAAGACAAACTTCTTAACCCTCTGAGTTCAAAAAAAATGTTTCAATTTTCGGTAATAACTAAGTGCCTTAGTTACTAATTTTCGTACAATCCTTAATGCATTGTATAACAATAAGGTAAGTCATGAAAGACTTCTCGAGGACCGATGTACACTAACTTCGATCCCGTCATGAGAGATGTGAGAGCAACAACAGCAGAAGGACCGTATTTTTAGTCTGCTGCTCCGCAGACTCAGCAAGAATGCCTGCTGGTTTTTGGTGACAATTCACTATGAACCCGCTTCAACACCGAAACATTTCGGAAATCGTACCACATAACGACGAGTTAATATTTTTGTATTAGATAGGTTTAGTGTAATTGAAAAAGCCCAGGGACTAGTAAGATAACGGTGGCTAGAAGGATCCTAGTAACCTTTACCATTCCTTGCAAACATCTGTAACACACTGATTCTATGGACCCATATATAAAAACCGAATGAGATCCGTCGCTGATATACTGGCTTAGTTATTCATGATCAAGCTTCAACCGAAGCTAGGGCGAACTAAGGTTCCATCGAGGTTACATAGGTGCAAACAGTTGCTACTGGGCCGCAAGCACGTATACGTTTAAGGTAGGCGTTGGACACCCCTGGCTACTAAGTCGTACTATCTGGCATTAAAAATTAACCAGGAAGCAGTCTTATCGAAGCCTGACCCGGATCTATCCATCTTCTTTGTAAAGACCAGTCAACCGGTACCCTAAATTCGCCTGACCTAATTTCTACCAGTCTTAAGCCACTCACACCTCCCACATTCCAACTCCTGGACCCCTCGGCTTCTACGCTGACCGTAATGCCACCATTCCTGGTGTTAGCACATTGCTGTTCGAAGAGAGCTTAAACTAAACACGGATTAAATGCTACCATGACGCCGAGTTCATGTGCCATTTCGCGCAGTAACGTTGGCATCCGAGCCCCATCCACGTGTCGGCACAGAGCCCAACGGGCAAGTTTGAGAACCAGCACCACAGAGTCACTCCTCTCCTAGCAGAGCTCGCACTAGAAATTGCCTGCGCTTTAACAATGGAAAGTACGGTGGGGTAGGACGGTGAGATTGCGGCCACATTACGAGTATGTAGGAGACTTCTCTACCATCAACCTCATTAGCCGTCGATAATCGTTATTTTGATTGAATTTGATTCTCTGAAAGAAATGACTGACCCAAGTTGCCCTGTCAGCTTTAATCCCATCACCTGATCGAAAATCCCTGCGTCATTTGTTCCACCCCTTGACACACTTCCTGCAGAGATTTCTCGTTGCTTGGACTCTAAGGTTGCCGTCCTTTCATTCGGATCAAGTTTGGTTACTACAATCCAAATGTTTGTCCTAATTGGAAAAGTGATTAGGGCTTTTCACAAAATTTCGGGTTATTCCAGTCCACAGTTTTATTATTGGTTGGCCCTTTTTGTTATGTAGGATTTAATTTTAGTACACTCTGATACTTATACAGACGAATTGGTTTTGGTCGAAAAAGAGGCGATTCCTGGTAAGTTGAGTCAAACTAAATTATAATGCTTGGATCCCCAATAAAAGCCAGTAGCTTATACTCTAACATTGTGCATTCTCTAACATAAATCGGGCTTTATAAATCAAAATCTAAAATTGTTGAGATCTTAAAGATTTCCTTACGAAATGTTTGGACATTGACGAATTAAATACATAGGATATCGTTTTTGAAGGCAGCAACTTCAGGCGCTTTTCCCTTGTTCGTTCGTGTAGAATCCCCACGGTCCAATTAAGTGCAGGAAGGTAATATGTCTTTCGTGCCTCACGGCCAAATCCAAATAGTTTTAGTGATTTTATAAAGCTCCACTCATAACCAATCGGTTTAGAAGAGACCTCTGCCAGAGCCACGCGGCCATTTTGCGGGGAAGGGGGAGGCGGGATAGGATCGAAGTCTGGTTCGAAGTTGGGTGCAGGGGAGGTGTCGTAAATTACTTTCGAGAGGGGAAGTTAGACACACGACTTGTCAGAGTTTATCTTTAATTCATCAGAAGTTTGATTGCTATTATTCCTCATGTTTAAATGCAAAAGTGTTAAAAAACGACTTCAGCAAAGCAAAAAACCTTTAAATGTCTCATCTCACTCATTAATCCAGTAATGTGCACCTTCACTGTAGATCAGTCAGATTCAGAACAGTACTAAAGGACTGCTCTAGAAAATTAACGATTCATACCACGTATTAATTTTCCTAATGTTACTTGGGAAATACTCTAACCTCCAGCAGTAAAACGATTTGCCTAAACATTTGTGCCAACCTCCTTCTTGTCAATACCCCCATTAGCAGTTCCCCTTCTGATTAGAAAGTGTTTACAAGGTGTCATTGGACGTGCCGTATCTTGATATGTCATGTTAACTAACCTTCATGCCGATCTGGACGAAGATAACATGTTAATTTTGTTTTCTAACTAGTTAACCATAGTGGAACTTTGGCATGAAGTAGGCATTGGTGGACTAAGAAAACTAAAGTGTACCGAAGAAATTCTGGCTGGTGTCGGTACCTGCCAATTCAGCATTGTTGCCAATTACAGGTGCC